ATATGTTACTCTACTAAAGTAAAGTGTGATTACGGGAGAAAGTGGGATAAAGTTTATTATATTATTACCAAACTATGTAAACGAAATAAGACACCTTTAATAAATGCATGAAAACATGAACTGCTTAATTGAATTCATGAGATTCGCATAGTAGGGCAATATTTAAAAGTAAGTTGAATTTCAATTTCAGTTCATTTTCAATTCAACATACATGCACACATACCGACAAACACACATTCATATATACAAAGGGTTGCATCAACCATTTTCCGCCCATTTTCCGAACTTGAGGATAGATTTTCAGAAATCTATGAAGATGTGCTTCAGTCAATTACTGATGCATATTTCTCATATATTTATATCATAATCAAATGTGAAACTTAACAGACCCAAAAAAATACAATGCCAAATATTACTGAAAACTGATTCTTGCAGTATGATTTCCTAAGATTTAAGGATTCAAACTTCGATGCATAACAACTTCCAAGGCAAACTGTAATACTTTTTTGTTAGGGTGTTCACGTAAACTAACAAAGTGCAATGTGAACTCTTTGTATAAATTTCACGGCTGGTCTGATGGGTATCCGCCATCTCAGCCCGTTAGGGTATGCGTTTGTCTTGCGAAATCACCTGGCCGCTTTCACCTTCCCAATTTAATTTTTTTTTTCCTTTTCGCTGAGGCAGCCGCAATTTCCACTGCTCATTTGCATATTTAATGAAACCATATAAAGCAGCAAAGGGTAGGATAGGTCAAGCGTAAGTACGAAGGCAAATTATGAGCCAAAATGTTGAGTTTTTATTTTCATTTTTCGCACATGCGAATAGCAGGCAAATAAATATGTGTACATGCGAGTTCGCCTTATCTAGGACCAGCGCCCTGCCCAAATTGTCAACAGCTCAGCGCTTATCATGGGTGGGAATTTCGGTAGCCAATAAATGCATCCCATCATTTACATAGGCAGCTTTATTCTGGACTTAAAAGCTTATTCCATTTCGGCGCTTCAATCAGTTTGACCAGATGCCAGATTCAAGGAAATCTTTGCCTTGCGGTCTCGTAACACTTGCAGATTTATGTGACCGCAAAACTTTGCTGCACAGCATAAATTAATGTTTAATTGATGAATTTTCATGAGGCTGTGGCCTAATCGGATTTTTAGTTAATTTGAGAAGTTTTCTATTAGATTTAAGTTTAAGTGGAAGAGCGTTTTGAGGTGTCTATTTTAATTAACAAAGTGTTTCTTTGCAGCAGAGCAACGCATTATTTCTGGCCTGCGTTTGTACTTATTCAAAGGCATCATGATGCATAAAATTCTGTCTGCAAACAACATTTACTAACAACTTCGCAAGGTTTAAAAGGAAAACAGAAAAATGAAAAACATTAAAAAATGCAACAGCTATTTTTTTAATTAATTTTTCAAGCAGTGCCTTGTGTTTGACTGCCGTCACCATGACAAGCAGTGCATACGAAAATAAATAATCAAAGCAAAGTAGTGAACTGCTTACAGCAAACACAGTGGATTGGACAGTGACTCTAAAACTTTCAAGCTCTGCCCAAAAGAAATTAAAAAATTAATTTAAATTTGGGATTCCAGAAGATTGTTTGGAAGATTTCGGAATGATATACCTCTTTCTTCTCGTACGGATCCCGACTATCGATTGACACCAAAAAATCTGAATTCTAAGAAATGGCCCAATTTGAGAAAAACTACTATGTTTTTTGCAAAAATTACGATGTTGGCTGAAAATGGCTGTGACCACGAGTCGAACGAGACCAATCTTTGCAAGATCGGGGCTTATTTGGCCGAGATACAGCGATTTAAAAAACGCGAAAAAATGCCGTTATAATTTTGAAGATTTTTCGTTTTTTTTTTCGATAATTCGGCTAAAAATGCTCCGATTTAGGAAAGTTATACCTTTTTGAACTCGTACTGATCTCTGGAATCGACTTGCATACCACGTTTTTTGATTTTGTTTTGAAATCCAAAATTTTTGAAAAAAAAGAGGCAGACGAACAAAAATCAAAAATTTCATTGCATACCCAAACGGAGCGGTGGAGCAGCTGGTGGAGCAGCTGAAGTACCAGTACGAATCTGCTTTAGGGAACGCTCCGCAGTGTGCTGGGGCCCACGCTCTACACACTCTATACACATGACATGCCCACTGGCTCTACAATTGAATCCACAGTGTGGATCCACAGGACCTAACCATCGCCACATTTGCAGATGACACAGCCATCTTATCAAGAATGAATGTGTCTACGAAGCTACTGACGTCGTGCAGCAATACCTCCACAAACTTGAAATGTGGGCTAAACGCTGGAACATTGGCATTAATTTAAATAAATGCGCGATCAATTATTGACGCACCACAACAGCTACAAATACTTAGGGGTGCACTTAGACCTTTAGTAAACACATCTCAAGTATCACAGGAGCCCTGAAAAGCAGATTAGGCAAATTCAGATGACTGCTCAGCAGTAAAAATCAGCTTTCTTTAAAAAACAAAGTAAACCTGCAGAGCTCCTGCCTGGCGATATGGTATTCAAGTTTACGGTATTGCTGCAAAATCGCGCCTTACGAAAATCAGGGTGTTTCAAGCAAAAATGCTCCGCTATCTGTCTGGTGCCCCCTGGTATATGCGAACTTCCGATTTGGAAAAAGATCTAGGAGTGCCCAAAGTCGGGGACGTCATAAACAAACAGACTGCAAACTACATAACGCGACTGGGAAACCATCCAAATCGACTGGTTAGGCGCCTTCTAAAGAGACGTCGAATTGGAGGAGTCCGAATGCGGAGGAGATTGCGGAGGTCTCATCCAATCGATCTCCCAGATCGATATACATATATAGTCACCGTAACCTTGTTAATTTTATATTAGACTTAATAGTAGACTAAGTAGTATTGTAAATTTTCTCATAAATTTAATTTAAGTTGTTCTCATAATAACAGGAAACGCATTTAGATAGATTAATCTCAACTTGTGCGTTTTCTTTGATTTATTGTCGTATTTGCTATTTGTAAGTTTTTTTAGGAGTGTTTTCGAACCATTCATCAAAAATTATCATTCGTCTGTTTTTTTTTTACCACCATTTGCTGTCTGTATCCTGTTTCACGTCCACATAGCTGGTGGCATGCCCGTGACCATGTCCGTAGTAGCTGTGATCGTAGGACTTGTGCTCCGCTTGGTGGGCGTGTCCAATGTGCTTGACAACCGCCTGGAAGCCGTTGTGGTCATCAGCAGTGTACTCCACAATGCGAGTGCGTCCGTCCGCCTCCTTCATGGTGTAGCCACCCTTGACCTTGTCGCCATCACGCGTCTCCCACTGCTGCTTAATGTCGCCCGTTTTGGTATCCTTGACGCCATAGTCGAACTGGTATTTGGGATGATGATGTGGCTCCGCTGCCACATGATGATGCTGTGGTGCCCAGTGCAGCGACTGTGGCTCCGCTGCTACATAATAGTGCTGCTGCTGTGGTGCCCAATGGTGCTCCTGTTCGTGGCTGTGCCACTTCTTTGGCGCTTCATGATGCGTCTGTATGCTGAAACCCACGCCATGACCATGCTCATAGCCACCATGTGGTATATAGCTAGCAGCCGAAATGCCCATCAATGCGCAGCAGACCAAAGTCAATTTCTGAGCCATTTCTAATCAAATTGTGGACCTGAGTTGGCTTGTTGCTTGATGTAAAACACAAATGGAACTGTGATGCCAAACGAACATTCGCAGACCTTTTTATAGCCGACCATTCTCGTCGAAATAAAATGTTCATTAATTGGGTTATTGGAGGTTAAATAGGCTGGCATAAGTAAAATATCAAAATACGAAAAATGCTTCAAATATTTGTGCAAATTTTCCATTTCCACACAGTGTATTCACAAATTTGTTGCCTGATGCCCATTGCCAAATTAAAAGCGGCCCAAAAGCTACAACAACAACTAATAAAAGGGGCGTCAACAGACCAAAAACACGGCAACGCTTCAACAATCGTTATTGTTATTGTTGTTGCAAGTTGTTGTTTTAGCCGCTTTTAGAAATCAATCAGCAAGTGTGGCCCGCTTTCAAATTGACCAAAAACTACAAATGCCGCGGCTCGCTGCATTTTCAAGCCAAGCTACAAGTGTTTTTGCGCCCCGCTAGCCAAAGCCCAAGCTTCAAACGACCTTGAGATGGATTGCAGCAGGGGGGGCTTAATATGCTTAGGGAGGGGTGTCTCTGAGCTTAACGCTTCCGAATTAGTGCTAAACTAAAGACCTGTTAATGTTTTCCATAAGCGCTTTGTTTTGAGCGTAAAATATGATTAATTGTTATTAGAGCTGATTCATAATTTTATAAGCTGATAAAAGGGAGTGCTTCAGTTTAAATGAATTAAGAATAGGCTCGTTAGCTGGCATGAAGGACAGAACAAAAAGTCCCATTCTAATTAACCCAGCAACATTCACATTTTTCAGTTTGTCAGTTTTTGACTCTCTTTAGATAATTAAGACTATATGCAATATTTTGAGAATTGCCTATTTAGTATATAGATGGTTGAAGAACAATATTATGGTACATATTTACAAATAAGACTTCAATAATTTTTAATATATACGAAATAATTTCGTGAGGATTTAGTTAGCCCGAAATAATACTCATTTCATCGTATCTTCATCATCAAGAATATAAAAGCATGCAATAGAACCTTTTGGAATCTTTGGCTTCGGTCAATTTAGAGTTAATTGCATTCTTTTTTCATAATACTTACTATCAAAAGTTCAACCCACAGACGAACGCCCTCCAATTTGATTTTTCAACAATGAAATAAATTATGGTGTTTGGTCTACGAATAATATATTACATTTTCTATGCAGCTCAACGCTCAAAGGTAAACTACAATTATAAACAACTAATTAGCTAATCGAAGGCAGGTGAATGGCTCTGGCCCAGAGAGAGAGAGAGAGAGACCACCGAGGTAGTGCTATAAATACGGTCAGTGGCACCACCAAGAACCAACAGACCTTATCACATCGCCAAACGATAATCAACCATAATGCAGCTGTTCTGTGGAGTTTTGGTGCTCGGACTTCTGGGCTTGAGTCTGGCGGCGCCGCATGGACATGGACATGCGACCAGCTACAGCGTGCTGACTAAGCACGAGGAGCCAGCGCACAAGAGCTACGGACATGGACACATTGATCACGGCTATGGCGGCTATGGATATGATGGCTTGGGCTTAGGCTACGCCAGCTATGACCATGGCTACGATAAACACGAGCCATATCATTATCCCAAGTACCACTTTGACTATGGTGTCAAGGATGCGCACACGGGCGATCAGAAGAGCCAGTGGGAGTCACGCGATGGCGATAAGGTGCACGGTAGCTATTCCTTGAAGGAAGCAGATGGCACGACGCGTGTTGTGGAGTACACCGCCGATGATCACAATGGCTTCAATGCGGTGGTCAAGAAACTGGGACATGCCCATCACCCACAGGTTTACAAGAGCTACGGACATGGTGATGTTTATGGTGCCGGCTACGGACACGATGTCGCCCACTATGGTGGCTACGATCATGGATACGGACATGGACATGGACATGCCAGCAGCTATGTGAGTGTAAAGCAGCTCCATTAAGAACCTGATGCCAACAGCTAATGCCGACAGGAAGAATTAATGAGTGGAATATATGAACACAGACCGATCTGAACGTAATTATAACATAATACCGATGCATACCTAACAGAAGACCAAATAAGCTCTATACAGTATTCTTAATAATATTTTGTATTAAAGTATAAACACACAAAGTATCTCGAAAGCATTTTTCCTTTTTTCTTCTTTCCTCTTTTAGCAATTATTTCTTTAAATTTTTCAACACTTTTAGTATTTTTCGTAAAAAAATCGTAAATCACAAAATACCCATATTATTTGGATATAGAGCTAAATAATTAAGATCATTAAGGATAATGGTTAGATGATAATAAATAAATAAAATTTGTGAGATGGATTTCATCTGAACCAACTCAAAGCATTAATAACGTAGGCCCCAATCATTGCCTTAAGCTAACCATATTTGGTAGCTGTAAATCTTGGGTAGATATCAAAATGTAGCGCTCATCTTGTTTATGAAAATATTTATGGATTGCAATATTTTCAGAACAACGCGCAATTGCCAACTAAAAATTTGAAGTGGTCTTAAAAGTATGAAATGACAAAAAAAAGCTTGAAACAAAACATGAGCTGTGGAAAACAAGAAGGTGAAGAAATACTTGAAGGCAGGGAGCTGGCTCGAAGCAATTTCTTTGTTTTTGTGTTTGCAGCTTAATATAGTTTAATTATAGTTAAACTCTATTTTTTTAGATAAATATTTCAGGGTATTTAAAGTCTATTTAAGAGGATTTCTATCATTGGTTATGCGTCCAACTAAGCGTAATGCTAAGCTATACTGACAACAAGTTCTTCAACAGATTTACTGAATGTGGTTAGTTTCCCATGGTTAGCATTAAAGATACTTTGCTGGCAAATTCGCAAGCCAATCGCTATTAATTTATGTTAAATCCAAACGTAATCCTGCCTGGTATAAATTTTATAACGCCAGTCAACAGCTGCAGCCGACTACTTTTACTCGTTGCAGCTGAAACCAAAAGTGGAGACAGCCAAATTGGTGTTTGATGCCGCTGCCTGGTGATAGCGAAGCGTAAAACGAGTTTTCCTTGGCCACAAATAGCGACTGAGTTTTTCATATGATTGTCAATTAGACTGAGGAGCTTAGGAAGCGTTCGTTAAAGCAATACTGTGCTCTGCTCTGCTCTTCTCTGCTCTGCTCTGCTCTGCAGTGCTGCCCACATTGGCGCATCGCTGCCGCCTGGCAAGATCTCTTCAGCTGACAGCGACAACAATTGTGGAACCAGTTGGGCCGGAAAATCTTGTCGCCGGGAAAACGGTTTGGTGCTTTGGCCATGCGCACTGCCTGATGTGGTGCCGGTCGTCTTCGTTTGCGACTGCCTATAAATACTTTGGCAATGTCGCGCAAACGCTTTAATTACGTTTTTGTCCTTGACATTGAACCAGTGAGGCGACGAGCAGCGAGCAGTGAGCGACTTCGACGCGTTTTTCGTGCGATTTTAATCGCCAGTGTGACGTGAACAATAATTTGTGTAATTTTTAAGTAAAATATTCATAGTAAATTAAATATTGATAGAAGCCATGCGTTTTTATGTAAGTGCAAAATATTTTTTGGCAAATGTGTTTTGTTTGCCATCGCATTGACCCAAACAAATTTTGGCTGCGATAAAGAGCGAAAGTGCCAAGCAAAAACTTTCACCCCCAAAAGTGAAAGTAGTGCAGAAATCAAAGCAAAGCGCATGCAAATGTCTAAACTTTTAGCAACTATTGCAGTTGTTCACATTAAAATTCAATTTTCTTCAAACAATTTTACAAATAAACATTGATTCTTATGCGAGCAAATGAACAATAAATAAGAATGTGGAAAATTTAAAGAAAAATTAAGCAATGAAAATTGGAAAGCCGCTTCATATATTTCTTAAACTGGAATTTGAGTTTCCCGGCGAAGCGAAAGTTTCTTACTTCAAATATTTTTCTCGACTTTTTTATTAAAAACTATTGTTTGTTATGCTAGTACCGAGCTGTAGAGCAATTATAATTACTTTTTCTCGATTAAGGCAATTCTTGAGACACATCCATTATAGTTTAAGATTATTTTTCTTTTATTTTATGAAGAATCAGATTTCAAACATAAAAAACTTTCATCGATTTTTAAGTCTTTCTGTTGGCAGCTAAGAGCTAATCCTGTAGATAAATTTTTATATTTTCATTATCCATATTAATTTTTCATAGAAATGTCGATTTGGAAAACCCAGCTAAATTTTTTACATACTTTGCAATTATAAGAAAGACTTAATCCACTCCAAATGTGTAAGCTATTCCCAATTGACACATACCCTAGATAAAATAGTTTTGTAGGTGGATTTTTAATTTAAACATGGCTGGCTTGTGGATTGACCAAAAATCAAAACCAAATTTGTTCACAACATGTACTCACATTCTTTTCGAATGCCAGACATGTCTTAAAAGCCGATTAGCTTGCGTTATTATCCATATATTCTCTAACTCAGTGTCTGCCTTTGGTGCGACCGAAACTGTACTAATTAGCCAGGTTTCATCGTGAAGCAACAAAACCAAACTATGTCTGGGCGAAAACGACACATGCCGATCGTGCCTGAAGCGAAAGAAATTGTCCAAAAATTTTGCAATTTTTCTTTTGACTGGTAGCACAAAAAAAAAATCAGTTACAAGTTGTAAACGGCAATTGGCAACAGGCAATTGAAAATTGAATTGAATTGAATTGAATTGAATTGTACGTGGCGTCGGCTGCCATCCTGCCAGACCTGTTTCGATATCCAAGCTACTGGTCTTAAGCAAAACCATCAATCTCCAACCTCAAGCGATTGCTGTCACATCGTACATACAAATGTGCGTCTGGCGGAGCCTAATTTTGGGGACAGCGAGGCGTATGCGTATTACCATTACCATTTGACAACTGTCACAACGCTGTATGACATGCCCGGACTGGGCCGTGGCATGCCTCTACTGGCCGTTACTTGAGAAATGTCCCAATGCATCTGAACACGCGTCGTTTGGCTGTTTGCCTGTTTGCCTGTTTGGCCAATTAATTGGCCCATGCTCGCGTAATAATTTTGTAGCCAATTTATTAACTGTTGGCTGTTGGTCAACTTGTTTTATCGTTGCATTTATTAAGCGCTCCACTGATAAAAACCGCACATTCATATTTATGTTAAATGCCTTAGATAACGAGACAGCCGCCTCCGACCCGCTGCACCAGCTGCCGTCTCCTGCTATTCACAGCGCTCCTTGCGATCAGCCTATGGACACGCCCAGTGGCCTGTAAACGAGTCACTGCCGCACCTGTCGTCGTAGCGGATGATGACGAAATGATGGAATATGCTCCACAATTTGTAAGTATCCCATACCCCACACCCCGCCCTCCACACACCACACCACATTGTGCATAAGCAGCTAATGGTATCTTTATACGACTGCCGAAATTCTCATGCAAACTTCCAAGTCACGCACAGTGGACGGCAATTGGATTATTAAACAAAATCACCCTCAAAAAAGTTTAGATGAAACAGAGATTTAATCTCATGTGAAAAGTATATTGCCAAAGTTCGCAAGCGAATTATATTTTTAAGATATTGTCGAAAGAACAAAAATTTAGTAAGCTCTAAAAAGAAATTTCGACTGAAATTTAATCACACATAAATCAAATATTGGTTGTGCTTTGAGAGTAAACTAATTTTATATATACAGGTGATTATGAGTATTTAAAATAATTTTCCCATTTTAGGAATTTCATTTCGCTTTGTTTTAATACTTTTCAAACTTTGGACGACCTTCGCATATTTGCAAATTTCAATTCTTTCAACTACCGACAAAATATATTTTTAGTGCAGCAAACGCATTTTTCGCCATTGCCAGCAATTCAAAGTGAATGTTGTTCATGCGTTTTATGATCGTCCCCACCCACAAGATATTTTTGTGTGTAACGTATCGTCGCCCACATAAATCAACTTGGAAGTGGCATGAGCTGATCTGGTGGGGCCCAGCCTGGCCTGGTTGGCGCTGTCCTGGTCTGGGCCATTGTTTCTTTTACTTTTTTGTTGAGTCTATTGACGGGAGAGAAGGCTGCAGGTAGCCGAAAATGCGTTTTGCGTGCAGCACACGATCAACGATCAGCCATCAGAGATCAGCGTTCGAGTGCTGGCGCCATATAAGGCAAACTCACGCAGCTTGCTGCACCTACACGCATTTGGGAAGGCCGCGAAAGGAGACAATTGTTTTCATTGTAACTGTAAAGCTATTGACAAGGCGCGTTTAACATTTTAAAATGTTTTTCATGTGCTGCTGCAACAAGTTGTCGACCCCCCCGTCTGTCTGTCTCAACTGTTTGCCTGTTGCAACGCCTTGGATTGTGCGCGGCTCGAGCCAGCGCCTGTCTGACAGTCAGTCAGTCAGTCAGTCTGTTTGGCTGTTTGTCTGCTTGTCAGTTATCAGAATATTTCATTTGACTGTATGCTCTCTCCCACGATCTGTCTGATCTGTCCCGTTGTCACTTTGACGCGCACGGCCAACACAGCGTATACGCAATTCAAATGCAATTGCAGCGCATTTGCGTTTTGCGCATACGCCCAGTCAGCCCGGCCATCATAAATTCTCTCCGCGTGCGCAATTTATGAGCCAAAGTTCACACGCACCCACCAACTCAGCAATAAGGCGATCTGTCGACCACCAACCGCGGCCACAGCTCATAACTACGCGACTGCCAGCGACTGACTCCTGGGTGGCCAGTGGTCAACAACAACAACAGCTAGCTGGCTCCGCCTGCCACTTATGCAACCAAGCATGGCCAAGCACCCAAAAAAGTAGCTTTGATTAAAAACAATATTTTTTCTCGTAAGCCTTGGCTGCTCAGGTTACGCACTCGCAATGTAATCATTTGTTTTCGGCGGACAGCGACAGCCAGCAAAAGCAAATTGATAGGCAGCCAACAACAACTGAAACTGCTGCCAGACTCGAATCTGTAGACTCTAGAGTGGACTGCAGCCTGGACACGACTGTGGCCATTTATGGACGTCTGCGCTTAATTGAAGCCAGCGCCAAGGCATGTGAAATACTTTTGCGATTTGCCCCCTGCTCCGCTTGAACAGAGGTGTTAAGAT